GAAAATAATATATAGGTGGGTTCCACTTGAGTTTCTTCTTTTAAGAGAAAATTAAAAAGTGAGTCCCACTTATATTTTTTTCTTTTAAGAGGAAAATAATACGTGGGTCCCCCCCTCTCTACACACTCTCTCCCCTTCTTCTTCTTCTTCTTCTTCTTCTTCTTCTTCCTCCCATACTATCTCCTCCGCAATAACCACCCACCAGAATTTGGGGTCTCCACGTTGGCATTTGGGAACCCATATATGTGCTCGTAGTCCTTGTTCCTCTTCTCCAACCCATATCTGCCCTTGGAGAGATATGGGGTGGGTGAGTGGGGCGGTTACGGTGAGGAGACTGTATGGGAGGAAGAAAAAGAGAATGGTTACAACAATGGAGATGGTATGGGGGTAGAGAGAGAGATGGGATTTTAAGTGAGACCCACTTATTATTTTTTTCTTAAAAGATAAAGATTCAGCTGGGACCTATTTATWTATTATTTTCAACATTTATTAATTATACATTAAATACCTTTTGTTTTATTCAGTAGACCCATTTGTAATTTTAAGTTTTTGAGTTCAACAGTGCCATATCAATGTTTCCTTGATTATTTAATGGATTGTAAACGGTGTCATTAACACCATGCATTATCTGTTTACGATTGACTTTTTCTGAAGTTTGAGATTTAATTTGGTCCTTTCATTTGTTCCATGACAGAAGTGGCCTTTTCGAAAAATACAAGAATTGTGAGAGCTGAAAATCCCATATAATAGTATTTATGCTAAATGTTCCAATGTTTCTATGCAATATATAATCCATATTTTTGATTCGCCTTGTTATACACTATATATATTTTTCTTCTCATTTTGCATGCATGTTCAATAGTGCCACATTGCCACTCACTAGTAGGGGTGACCATGGGCCGGGCTTTGCATTTGTGATAAGGGTTATAGCTTAGGCCCGTGCTTGAAACATAAGCCCTAGCCCAGGTTTACATATCTATATATAAAGTATTACATATCTATATATTAAATGATATAACATGCATATAAACTTATTTTATACATTATATAATATAAAATATTACATATAATATAAATTATACATGTCATGTTATAATATTTATATATAAAATATATAATATAATGTAAAATAACATATATACATATGTATATATTATACACAAAATGTGTAAGTTTAAATATATGCGGGCTGGGCCAGGCCTAAGCCGGGCTTGAAATATTAAGCCCAAGCCTAGCCCTAAAATTTGCCGACTTGAATACAAAACCCAGGCCCAAACCCAGAATTTCCGGGCTGGGATGAAATGATCACCCCTACTCAGTACTCACTAGAATTTGTTTATTTGTCTTTTGCTTTATGGGGCTATGCAACGGTGGCTAGCATGTCCCCCATACCTAACCCTCCAACCAACCCATCTCGTAGGGTTGGGGGTTTCTAAAAGTTTTGGATGATGAAAAACATCCCCATGAGGTTTAAAAAAAGGGAAAATCTATGATGCGGAAAAGATATGGTATGGGAAGATTTTTGAGTCTTTTTACAGATAAAAATATTCACCTTATTGATATATGCATTGACAGATAAATGATACTTTAAAATTAAGTAAGGAGATGTTTCCACATGTGCTGTTAAGTGTTTGGGAGGTTGGTTTGAACCATGTGGAATCTCCTGCCCATGAGAATTCTGCTCAAGTCTATTCACAATACACTAACTTTGTGAATTAGGAACATCTCTCCCTACATAATACTATACAGCAGGATTAAATATTCTCCATATACGGCTGCGATGTTATATGTGCGGAGTTCTCATGAACAGGAGATCCAGAATCGGTTTTAATATTGCTATGTGAGGAGGAAATCCAAATTCTTGGGGTTAAGGTTGGATTGGCTCTTTTTGGGTTGCTCAGTTGGTAGGGATGGATTATATTCATCAAACGGGATTTCAGCAAATTTTCCTATCCACTCTCATCCCCATGCAATATTAATTAGGGAAATTGTCCAAAACCCACCATCAGTTTTTCTGAATTCTCTTAAATCCATCATAACTTTTCAAAACGTCAAAAACTCACCATCTCAGTAAGATAACAGTAACTTCACTAACGGACATCGTTAATTTACCATTTTACCCTTTACGTTCGGTCCATTTTGCAATACCAAAATTACCCCGTCGTTATTCAACCCAAAATCCAAGCATTAGCCGCTGCTTTCTTCCTCCTTCGGCCACTCTTCCCCTTTGTTTGAGATTGAAGAACAGGATGCGTCTCTGAGAAGAACAGTCTGCAACTCCCCCATCATTATTCAACCCAAAACAACTGCTGATTTCTTCCTCCATCGACCCCTGCCTCCCCTTTGTTTGAGATTGAAGAACAGGATGCGTCTCTAAGAAGAAGAACTCTCGTACCTTCGTCTGATATGAAGAACGGTCGGATGCTCATCAAGACTGTTCCCTTCGTCTGAGAAGAAGAGCAGTCTGAATACAGTTTGTAACTTCTCACCGGTCGCTACTTCTCTCATCGTCTGAGAAGAAGAACGGTTGGATTACTGACTTCAGCGTAGTGGGATTAATGTTGATCATTGCCATCAGATTTTGAATCAAACTGAATCATATTTTTGCCTCTCTTTTTGTATGGACTGGAAAATCCGCGCTGCTGACTCAGTTGCAGATCTACGATTGTGAGGCACCGCCCTGATCACTGTTGTCTGCTGATCACTACTTTGACTCTGGAGTACTGGATTCTGAACCTGCCCAGCTGGAGCCATGGGAAAAAGTGGAATTCGGCAATATTATTTGCCCCAGTACTCCGTGTCCTCTCACAAGGACTGCTTGCTGTTCTCCCTTGGAGTTCACTATCTATGGACATCTGAAACTTCCAATTTGCATCCCTACCCCTGTGGAAAACAATGCTAACATAAATTTAAAAGCAATAAGTTACATAAACAGTCATAAATCAAGAAACTAAAAGTTAAGGTCTCAAGGAGGAATTTATCTTGAGCTCAGTGAATTGGAGAATTGAATACTACTTTTGGGTGGAACCATTAGCCATTAGTGCTATGACTATGCATTTATCAATGATTAATATAGGAAGAAAGGAGACCATATGGAAGTTCATTGGAGCAAATCTCCCCACAAATATATTTCTTATGAAGCTCCACGGTGCAATGAGTTGAGAATGCAATTTCAATTTTGAATGTTCATTTATCCATTCTGAGCACCCCTACGGGGACTTAAGGCAATATAAAAGCTGCCCAAATTGGAGATATGACTATTGGAACAAGGGCATTACGGCCACTTTATACACTGAACTATATAAACACATTTCTGATGTACCCAACCTATTTCTCTTTTACACTGAAATTATCCCCATCTTGTGCAACAAATCTTCAACTGTAGGTCCAGAAGAATAATCAAATTCTTCAGATATGGGTTTCTGCATTGTTGAAGCTGAAGCAAGGGTGTGCATCTTAGTGTCATCGATCACCTGGACATAGATATGCTTGTTGGAGCGRAAGACAGACAACCTTGGCCTCTCTGGTGTCCCTTCAACCTTCTTTCTAATACGGGCATGTCGAGCAAGCCTGTCTTCCCTACTGGTTATGGCCTTTGCTTAAATAACCAGAGATGGACTTGCCTTCGCTGCTACGAATTTGGGTCCAAGAGTGAGTTGTTGTGAAGAAGCGAGAGCACTGTGAAGGAAGGAAAGAGAACCAGACATGATTTCTCCTCTCTCTCTCTCTCGCTCACTCGGCTTGTTGTGCCATTTTGGGCGCCTAAGGGCATTTCGGTAAAAAAAATGTTTAGCAGGCTGAGTCACCATTCAGGGGCAATTTATTTATAAAATATTCATTTAGGCTGACGTGGACAACTTGAGTCATTCAGCTTTAACGGCGGTGTAACGGATGGTGAGTTTTAAAAAATAAAATTCACTGATATGGTGAATTTTTGATGCTTTAAGAGTTGTGATGGGTTTATGAGAATTCGGAAAAACTGATTGCGGGTTTTGGACAATTTCCCTATTAATTAAGTCTTCCACGTCCAGCAAAACCAGCAAAAGTATTGCCGAAAATTCAGCCCACCTTCTCGCCTAAATTTATCACCATCACCGTAGGATATCAAAAAACATTTAGACAAATGCTGCCGGCCATTGAAGAAACCCCGGAATTAGATATACCGTATACGTACCTATACCACCCTGTAAATCGTCGTCAAGTACAAAATCCCACTTCAAAACGCCCACATCGCGCCCAGCCCAGGTGAGAATCAAAGCCAAGGTGTGAGTTAACGCCAGAAGTAGATGATGAACCATAGTCGCCGGAAACTGGAGGGCCGGAGAGAACAATACCGGAAAAAGAACCACCATCCTCTGCTCTGGCGGCACAGAATCGTTGGGCAGCAATACTCTTCTTCGTCACCACCAAATCCTCATTAATAGCACAAGAAACACCACTACTCCCGCCCCAATCGACTGCTTTAAGAAACGAATCACCCTGAGCATCGCCAAAAAGAGATACATCCCTAAGGTTGTTGGATATCCTGTTACCAGCCATAACATCACCAGGACGTTCATCATTGTTAACTGTACCAGTGTTGAGACTGGGAAGAGCGGTGCCCATATACTGCATCATCTTAGGCATGCCATGGAGGACAGGTTCAGAAGCATTGGTGGATGAACATCAGGGGAAGACAGCGTCTTTCCCAAAACAGATCGGACTATACACAACCAAAACCTTCTCTAGCATAGTCCGATCAGATTTGGAAGATAACAACAATAAAACGAGAAAAAAAAACAAATTAAACCTCACATGTGCGAGACAGAAACTCGTAGAAGCAAGAGAGAAATTCATACCTTGGAATGTATCTATATTTACCATATATATATATATCTATTATTTGTAACATATATATAAGATATATTATCTTGTTTTTGGTAATTTATAATATCTTATATATATAGTATAATATTTCACTGAATATTATTGTTTTTATATATATGGTATATATATATATATATCTTGTACTATATGTTATACCGTATACTATATATGTAGATAAATATTTGGCATGGATATATGTATATATGGTATAATATATTGATACATAAATTTATTTATATATATTTTCTTTAATTTTGGTAATAAAAATAATTTAAATTAAAATTTTAATTTTCAAAAACTAGAATTTTATTAATTAATACGGGCAAGCCTGGATGCTTGGCCTGATCTAATTATTCTGTTACTGTTAGCTTGCTTCATTAAACGTCAATAACTAAATTTAGTTGGAGTCTTGAAGAAGACCATTTTACCAGAATATCCAAGTAAGGTTCTCTTCTCTTTATAAGTAAGAACCCCTGAACTTTCGCCTTTCATTGAGAGCGAGCGAGCGAGCGAGATGGGTTGGTTGATTTCCTTCTCCCTTGTACTGTTCTTATCTGTTTCAAACGAGATGACGCTGACGGTGGCTTCAAAAGGACAGCATAGCTATGCAGATGCATTGGCCAAGAGTATATTGTTCTTTGAGGGCCAGAGGTCAGGAAAGTTACCGGCTTCACAGCGGATGACATGGAGGAAAGACTCCGCCTTACAGGACGGCCACTACATGAAAGTGAGTTTCTTTCTCCTTTTTGATCATTGAATTGAGGGAAGACTCCGGGACTCTGTGTCTGTGTTATTGTCTTATTGACACAGAACAGAGACACAGACTAATATTTGTCTTCTGAGGCAGCGTTTAAACTTAATTTGAAGCTTGTAGATCTTGTCAACTGATCACAAAAGATGATTTCAGGTGGACCTGGTGGGAGGTTACTACGATGCTGGGGACAACGTGAAATTTAATTTCCCCATGGCATTCTCGACGACAATGTTGGCATGGAGCGTGGTGGCGTTCGGTCAATCCATGGGCTCACAACTTCAACATGCTCAGGAGGCAATTCGCTGGGCAACGGACTACTTCCTCAAATCGACAAGCACCCCGGACGTGGTCTATGCTCAAGTGGGGAACCCTTACGGGGACCATGATTGCTGGGAGAGGCCTGAGGACATGGACACACYTCGAACTGTTTATTTTGTTACTAAAGACCACCCTGGTTCGGAGGTAGCAGCAGAGACAGCTGCTGCACTTGCAGCTTCTTCCATGGTCTTTGCATCCTCTGATCCTTCCTATTCAAAATCTCTTCTTCAGAGGGCCAAAGAGGTGAACCTACTCAGGAACTTGAATCACATTTCATTTCTTCTTCTTCTTCAACTAATGATGAATATATATATATATGTGTGTGTGTGTATTAGGTTTTCCGTTTTGCAGATACGTACCGGGGATCGTATAATGATAGCATAGGTGGAGGGGCGTGCCCATTTTATTGCGATTTCAGTGGTTACATGGTATGAACTATCGACTTTTTCATCTGTTTTCGTTTCTTCCATCTTCCTGTTCGTTGTGTTGCTCTCCATTAATTGTTATATCTTTATCAGCAGCAGTTTCTTGTGTTCTTTATTTATATTCATCATGTTTTTGTACAGAAGGGTTGTGTATAATAATGAGATTCAATCCTTTCATTTACTCTTTAATCCTCAAAGTTTTTCAGGGCTTCCATCCTCTGATATGATTTTCTATTGGGGGTGGGGTGAATTGTAGGATGAATTGGTCTGGGCAGCTGCATGGCTATACAAGGCTTCTGGGAATCAGGAATACTGGGACTACTTAGCGAACAACATAGATAAATTGGAATCCATCTACTATGCCCCTACTGAATTTGGCTGGGACAGCAAGCATGCTGGCATCAATGTTCTCATGGCTGATGTAAGTCCAACTCCACCCGACCGCTTTTAATCATTCACATCTATGAACTACGTACTGAATATAGCTATTCATTCAAACTCTCTCTTTTGATCTCTCACTGTAATTTCTTGATATTGTAGGTATCGCCGTCGAGGTCTAATCCATCTGGTATCCCAATGTTACATGCGAATGCTGACAAATTTATTTGCTCGGTACTTCCCGAATCGCCAACGAAAAACGTCCGGTACTCGCCAGGTTCGTCGACTGTAGGGTGTTCAAATTTCGTCATCAAACCGAAAACCCAAATAGATCCAGTAAAAAAATTCAACTGAATTGAACCGAAAGAATATATATACTTATATTTTAATTATAAACAATAATATTTTATATTAATATATAATATGCATTTTAGTTATAAATGTTGATATGTTTTAATAACAAATATTATTATAAATATATATAACATCCATTTTTTCTGCATAAATATAATATACATTTATATTTTAATATACTGAATTAATTGATTTAAAACTGAAATGAATCGAACTAATTTGAATTCAGTTCAGTTTGATTCGATTTTAAAGCCTGATTCAGTTTGATTTATAGAAATGGCTTAACTGAAATATTGATTAAATACCAAATCGACCGAATGAACACCCCTTATTCAGTCTTCACAAAATTTGTTCTCACACCGTTCTCGCAACACTTACAGTCTTACATTTGAAACATCTGTTTATTTATTTATATATACATTTTTATTTATGAAAAATGTTCCCAATGCACATCTGTAAAAGCCTATGAACACGGTGTGAGCACAGTTTGTGAGGACTGAATCCAAATTTCCTTCGGAGATAGCCATTACAACAACTAATACAGTAATACTCAATAGAGAAAATAAATTGCTGATGCAGGTGGGCTTCTATACAAAGCAGAAGCAACCAACATGCAATGCGTAACCGCCATATCATTCCTCCTCCTTGTCTACGCTCAGCACTTGAGTGCCAGCAACAATGTCGTTCACTGTGGAGAACAAGTTGTGGCCGATCCAAACAGGCTCATAGCATTCGCCAAAAGCCAGGTAATTTAATTGATTAATGGGCCAATTGATTGCTATTTTTCTATTGGGCCAAGCGACTATGAATTAACAATTGGGCCGGAATTGGGTTTGTCAGGTGGATTACATACTGGGCCACAATCCTCTGAACATGTCTTACATGGTTGGATACGGGAATAAATTTCCACAGAGGATTCATCATCGAGGTTCTTCGCTTCCGTCGGTTGACAAGCACCCAAAGCACATGGGCTGCAAGGATGGGACTCCCTACATATTAACCAGTAACCCAAATCCTAATGTGTTGGTAGGAGCTGTCGTTGGAGGCCCAGCAGTAGATGATACATACGCTGATTCTAGGACGCTATTCAGGCAATCAGAGCCCACCACATATATTAATGCACCTCTTGTGGGTCTGTTAGCCTACTTTAATTCTCATTCAATGACTTCTAGATATTACCATCCAAACTTTCTTATGGACGCCAACAAAATGACTGAATAAATTTAATCACATTTCAGGCGTTAGAAATAAAAAAAAAGAGAACTCAACATTTTGATGATTTTATTTTTAGCAAATTTCTTAAATTAACCTTAAGGTTTAGAAAATTGGTTAGCTATATCCTTATTATTTTAATATTGTCTTAAAGTATCTCTATTATTTTTGACAATTGTCGCACAACTTCCTTTATTAATTCTGTCATAGACAGTTTATACGTGATTTCACATGTTTGATTTAATTTTAAATAATATCCAAAATTAGAGGTATAAATTGGGCCGTATTGTTTGCGACCTAGCACGAATTTGGACCGACCCGACATGATCGAATGGGCGTGCTAGGCCTCGGGTTTTAGGTTTGCGGGCCGGGTCGGCACTGCTAAGCACGACCCATATATATTATTTATATATATTATATAATATATTATCTATTATATAAATTATAATAATATAATAGTATAGTATATAATATATTAATAAAATAAATAATTATTTTCAATTTTAATATACTAATATATTTAATTATTGCATGTATAAGTAATTATATACATCAAAATTCATATAAAATTAAAATTTTAAGCCTTTTCAAATTTTTTTTAAATAAATAGCTTTGACCTGGCCTAACCCAAAGCTTGGCCCACGGGCCTGCCTAGCCCATGGCATGGCACGACACAGGTTCGCACAAGCTTGCGCCATGAGTTATGCCAGGCCGACCCGGCCCACGGCATGGCACGATACAGGCTCGCACAAGCTTGGGTCGTGGGCTGTGCCGGGCCGACCCTCAAGTTATTACACGGCCCGTATTACACCTCTATCCAAAACCACACGCCCCCATGTGACGCAGAGTGATGAAGGAAGATTTGGCCCGACCTCGCAAATCCCGCCACGTGGCAAAAAACAAGTAGCTCGGCACTTACCGAAGGAACAAACACCAAAGGGAAGAGACCAGCGGTCCAAACTCCCTACAAAGTGCCCGAACTCCCTACTTAGAGCTCGAACTCCCTGCAAGGAGCCCGAACTCCCAGCAAGGTGTCCGAACTCCCTATTTAGTGCTCGAACTCCCTACGAGGAGCCTGGACTCTCCCTTTGGCCCGGAGTCGCACAAAGCAGAGACCCGAATAGGCCCGTCCTATGACAGTTCGGGCCCCCCCTTATCCGAACTCAAGACTTCGCCTCACGCACCGCTCCGGGCACTTCGCTTCCGGAGCATTGAACTGGATGAACCACACCGTACCTAACACCGAAGGAGTCCGTATCTAGGGGCGGCGCACCTGATTGACTTGGGATCCGATGCCTGATGGCCGCATTTCAAAAGGCCACTTGCCACCGTCACCTGTCAACCGCTACCTCCAGTTACAAAGACGGCTCTAACAAAAAGAGCAGTGACGGTTCTGCCCCAGCAGAGGCTATGACGCCCGAATTGGCAGAAGCACGGAAATACTCATTCCCGACCTGGCAGGAGTCTAGGAGTGAGTGCGCGAGGTGGTTATAAAAGGCTCTCCACCCCCAAAGAGGAGGTATGCAAACTTTGCGCTATCTGGTTTTACCTTGCCTTTGAAGGATTCTAACTTAAGCTTCGGAGCCTTTACACCGGGTTCCCCCCGGAGCTTCCTCATCTCCTCCGTTTTAGGTTCTCTGCAACTCAGTTCAGAGGCAAGGTCGTTGATAGCTAAGACCGGTCGGATTGCACATCATCAATTGGCGCCGTCTGTGGGAAAGCTTCAAAAAAGCCTCCCTCCAAACTCTCATACCCCCTTTTCTTCTTCAAAAAACCCAACACTCATGGCCTCTTTCAGCAACGCCGGACGTGGCACAGAGACAAACACCACCGGGGAACAACTTCAAGTTCCCGTGGTGTGCGTTGGA